TCCTTATACGTACAAAACAAAGAGAATTAAAATGAAACATTGAAATCAAAGAATCACCTAAACATTCCAACAACTCAAACTTGAATTGTATGAACGTTTAGGTCCTCTTCTCTTCCTCGTTGTTGTAGCACAAGGTCTAAGGTGAGGTTTGGGGGATTATGGAAATGTGGAATGGAGTGAGGAGTGATGGAAATGGAAAGATGGTTTTGGATTCTAAGGGGACTCACGGCAAAGAGAAGGAATGGAAGTGTTTGTGGTGTGTTGTGTATGAAATGAGATGATCTTGAATGAATGAATGCAAGGGTATTTATAGGAGTAGTGGAGGGAACATATGGTTGTTTGTTTAAGATGCAAGTGGCTAATTAATGATGGAAAAGTATGTGATTTAAAGGATGCAAAGTGAATGAATCATGAATCATTGTGGATGAAAGGTGGAAGTGCATGTGTTGATGACTAGGTTAGTGGGTGGAAATCTGAAAATGGCATATAGGAATGGGAGCTCACGGTTTGAATGTGTAAAGTGTGTGTGAATGCATGTGAAGATGCAATAAATAATGCATGTAGGGTTAGGAAATAATGAAGAAATGCATGTGAGATGTTTGGAAAGGAAATGGGAACCCACGGCAATGAAGTTGTTTTGTGTTGTGAATTATGATGAATGCATGTGAGTTAAAGAGGGAGAATGTGGTGAAATGATGAAGTAGGAAGGTGGAAATGCATGTGAGATGTTTGGAAAGGAATAAAGAATGAATGGTGGAAATGTGAGTGAATGATGTGCATGTGTGAGAATGCATGTGGAATTAACAGGAGTATGGAAGTGAAATAAATGAATGATATGTTAAGTGATAAGTGAATGATATGTGGTGAGTGATAAGTGAATGGTTTGATAAGTGATAAATGAATTAGTTTAAAGGGCTAGGGTTTAAGTACATAGAATGGGCCTAAAATAGGTTGGTTTGTATGGCATAATGTGTTTGATTGGGCTAGAGCCATTGTTTTGTGTCTTCAAGTGCATACAAGGCCTTCAAATTCGTCCATCCTCTTGGCTCCATGGATAAGCTATCCAATCCATGCCCAAAAATGCTCCAAATGGCCTCAAAATGCACTTTCTTGCTCCCTAGGCCCTTAGAACCTGAAAACACACAAAAGAAGCATAAAGGACTAAAATAACGAGAGAAACATAACGTAAATGCACGAGAACAAGCCATTTAAGTCGCATGAATATGCTCCTATCATTTAACCTTTCCTAATCCTAACTATCCCTAAGTTCCAGCAACTTTGAAGGTACCTTATTGATAGGAGCATATTTAGGCGACTTAGTTGGCCTGTTCTTGTGCATTTACGTTGTTATTTCTTAGTTCTTTAAGTCTTTTAAGCCATTTTCGTATGTTTTCGGGTTCTAAGGGCTAAAGGAGCAAAGAAGTGCATTTTGGAGTCTTTTGGAGCACTTTTGGGCTAAAGATGGATAGCTTCTGCTTGGAGCCAAAGTGTTGGACGAAATTGAAGACCAAGTGAGCCTAGAATCGAAGGAAGAAGGATGAATCAAGAATTGGAAACCAGTTTCCATTATTGGGAGTTTCCATTTGTGAAGGTGTCCATTTTTGAAGTTTCCAAATAATGTTGGTTGCTTAAATCACATGTTCTAGAAGCCCTAGACATGTCCTAAATTGTGCCGCACCTTACCTTCATTTTCTCTCCAAATTTCTGGCTTTAAAATCCTTTCCCTTTTCCTTGCCGTGAGATTCTTTCTCATTCTTCCCAAAATCAGTCACAAATCTTGTTTCCTTTAATTCTTGGTCAAAGGCACATTCCTGATTTCTTTTTCCCTTTCTTGCCGTGAGTTTAATTCCTTTTCTCTCCCAAAATCTGCAAGATTATGTCACGATCCCTTTCTTAAAAGTCTTAGCCGCACCTATACATTCCCTTTCACTCAAAAATCTGCAAGTTTAATTGCACTTTCCCCTTCTTTTCCTCCCTTTGCCGCAAGACTTAGCCTTTTTCCTTAATTCCTTATTTCAATTACCTATTCTAAAGGGATTTAACTTAATTCCTGATTCTTAGAATTGATTTGGGGGAATTAAACACTTACTTATTTCCTATGCAAGCCTTGTCGTGCCTTAATAAAGGGTTTGAGGGTCAGATTAGGGGAGATTCACCATTCGACATCCCGTGGACACAATTCTATACCTTGCCGCAGCTTCCTTCTAAACCCTTGACAATTTCTGACCTTTCACAACCCCTTGCCGCACCACCACTCATCTATACACATCCTTAGACCCTTGTGCCGCAGCAATTAGAAGAGGAAGGAGGCCTTGAACGTTTCATGCTTGCAGATTGGGGTGTTCTTAGGTGTACTTCGTTCTTGTTTTCAATGTTTACTTTGTTATTACTTTCTGAGTTTGCTGTAATCATGAGTGGCTAAACCCCTAATTAGTTAGGGGAAAGTTTGAAGCCATGAACATGTTTGAGATATGAATTGATTTCTTCCAATTGTGATTTGTTAAGTTGTGATTGCAATTCAATTATCTATTTTATTCAAAACTTGTTCTTGTATGTTGATTAAGGATGCATACTTAGTTTTCATGCATGAACTTGATGCTAGTTTATAAATGAGTTTCACCTAATCGTCACAAGTTTATAAACATGAGTAGTGAAGGTTGCTAGTCACAACCGCGTTAATTGAATTCTTGGCAAGAGTATCATGCATTCATAGTTACAATTGCCTCGTCAACACTTATGATTTTCATAGAGCATAATGATCTCTCACTGTATCTCTTCTATGCATTCATGTTGAGGACCGTTGGAGAATAATTTGAATTGTTGCATGCATCATCCAATTCAATGACATAAGGAAATCTGAGGGTTAATTAGTGCATCACGGTTAACTTGGGGTGTTGAGCATCATAGTTAGTGAAAAGCAATTGGAAAATCGATTCATATACAAATGTGTCATGTGTGGAGAATGGACCTCTAACTAATCCATCCATCATCTTGTTTCCAAAAAATTCGTTTTACAATCTGCCTAGTTTTATAACTTGTTTTGTTATTTCAATTTTCGTTAAATCAAAACCCCCCCCCCCCTTTACTTTCTTGTTTTATAGTCTTTAGAATCTGTTTAGTTTGTGTTTTAAAGTGTTTTGAATCAAACCATAATCTTAAATTCGTCCAAAATTGTGCTTAGAGTCAGAAACTGCCTAGTTAGTGTTTTTAGGCAGTTTTGAGTCTTTTGAACTTGTTTCGAGACCCTTGAGTCTTTGTGAACGTTTTCAACTTTGTTTTTATGTTTTTGAGTCAGTTTAGAGGTTTTAGCAAGCCCTCCTAATCCCCGGTCCAGAACGATCCCTACTTGCATCCTTACTACAATTTGACAACAAGAGGGTTAATTTGTGTGCTTAACTATTTTCGCATCAAATTTTTGCGCCGTTGCCGGGGATTAGCAACTTTGCTAATCCCTCGTTAATTCTTTTATTTCTTTTTCATATATTTTCGTTTTAGTTACTAACCTTATTTTTGTTCTTGTTTCTAGGTCCTAGTTTATGACTAGGAGTTCAAAACCTGTTCGTAAGCACATCCTTGACTTTGACGACGATTTTGAGCGGACCTTGAGGAAGCAAAAGAATCAACAAAACCCTAACCCACCGTCTTTTAGCTCTACATCCGAGTTTGACGAAGGAGGTGAGGAAGGAGAGGCCACGACACAGTTTGTGGAGGAAGTACAAACCATGGTCGTGGACAATCGAACCATCAAAGAGCTCTCTGCCTTAGGTATGGACAATGCCGTTCCTTTATGCATACAATACCCCGCGGCAGCTCAAGGTAAGACGGATGAATTTAAACTTAAGTCTAGTTTATTACATCATATTCATAAATTCCATGGGCTGTCCATGGAAGATCCTAACAAACATCTTAAGGAATTTGAAGTAGTTTGCTCAAGTATGACACCCATCAACGTGGATGAGAGTATTTTGAAGATGAAGGCCTTTCCATTCTCCCTCGTGGACAAGGCCAAAGATTGGTTGTATGAATTGGCCCCCGGAACTGTCAATTCTTGGGAAAGTATGAAACGTGCATTCTTAGAGAAATTCTTTCCCACTGCAAAGATCATTCTCTTAAGGAAACGGATTAGTGGCATCCAACAAAATCAAGGTGAGTCGTTTCCATCTTATTATGAACGTTTTAAATCACTTGTTGCTTCATGTCCACAACATCAAATGAAGGAGGAGCTGCTCATTCAATATTTCTACGAGGGACTCCTTCCCATGGAACGTCAAATGCTAGATGCCTCGACGGGTGGTGCATTAGTGGACAAGACTCCGGTGGATGCCAAAACTCTAATTGCAAACCGAGCACACAATGCTCAACAATATGAAGGTGTTGGCCAAAGAGAGGGGCCACGGCAACAAAGTGTAAATGAGGTAAGTGCAATTTCTGACATTCAATCACAATTGGCTAATCTTACTTCTCTTGTGTCTCAGGTTGTCAAGGGGTCAAAACCATAAGAAAACCAAGTGTGTGGCGTGTGTTCAATGCAGGGGCATCCATCCGAGACATGCCCTCAGTTGATAGAGAATGGAGGATGGGAATCTGGCAATGCCATTGGTTTCCAAGGCCAAAACCAACCCAAATATGATCCGTACTCCAACACCTACAACCCCGGGTGGAGAGATCACCCTAATTTCAAGTGGAGAGAGCCCCAACAATCTGCACAACAAAGGGGATTTCAACAAAATCCCCCTGGGTTTCCACAGCCATACCAATCCAACCAGCCACCATCGTCCCAAAACAACTCAAGTTCGTCTTTTGATAATTCTCAAGTTATTCAATTGCTAACTACATTGGCGCAGGGGCAAGAAAAACAAACAAAAGACATGCACAATTACGCCAATGAGGTGCAAAATCAAGCTCGAGAGGTGACTGAGTTGAAGAGACAAGTGGGACAAATGGCTGAATTCATGGGGCAATTTAGTAGAGAACAAGGTAAGTTACCAAGTTCAACGCAGGTGAATCCGAAAGGTGGATTCGAATCTGCAAAAGCCATAAGTTTGCGAAGTGGGAAGCAAGTTGGATCTGACCATGGACCATCCAAACCACGTTCCAATGAGGAGGAAGAGTTGAGAATCGAAGAAGAGGAACAAAGCCTACCCACGGCAAAGGTGGAAACACCTTTGCCGCAGGCCTTGAATGATTCTAAGACCTCAAATCGGTCCATTAAAGGTAAAAACGTGTCAAGTTCAGTTCCCACTAATGTTTTTCCTTCGAATGTGCCTTTTCCTAGCAGGTTCATGCAAACCAAGAAAGAGGAAGCAGAAAAGGACATTCTCGAGACGTTTCGGAAAGTTCAAGTCAATATCCCTCTCTTGGATGCAATCAAGCAAGTCCCGAGGTACGCCAAGTTCTTGAAGGAACTTTGCACTAATAAGAGGAAGATTTCGACCAAGGAGGTTGTAAAAGTGGGTGAAAACGTCTCAGCCATCTTGCAAAGGAAACTGCCCCCTAAATGCAAGGATTCGGGTAGTTTTACAATTCCATGTGTCATTGGTAACACTCGTTTTGAATCTGCCATGTTAGATTTAGGTGCATCAATAAACGTCATGCCATATTCAATTTATGCATCTATGAATCTAGGAGCATTGAAAAACGATGGTGTTATTATACAATTGGCCGATAGATCTAATGCCTATCCAAAGGGAGTTTTGGAAGATGTTTTAGTGTAGGTCAATCATTTAATCTTTCTGACGGATTTCTATGTGCTTGAAATGGATGAATCAAACCATGCCCTTTCATTGCCCATCCTCCTTGGATGCCCATTCATGAAAACTGCTCGTACGCGGATTGACGTATATAATGGCACTTTGACAATGGAATTTGATGGGGAAGTTATTAATTTCAATCTTTCTGATTCTATGAAGTACCCTAGTGAGAATCATTCGTGTTTTGCTATTGATATAATTGACTCTTTGGCGCAGGACCATTTGGACAATTTGAAAGACGATGCACTTGAATTGGTCATTGCACAAGGAAGGGACATGCAAAACATCGAAACAACCACCAAGGAACCCCACGGCATGCATGAGGAATCCTTGGTCGTGGCCCCTAGTGAGGATATGATTGAGATGGTGGCTGCCCTCGAGTCATTGCCATCACAATCAGGTAAGTTTTTGGACCCTATTTTAAGTTCTGTTTCAGCTAATAAAATGCCTCCCTCAGTTGTCCAGCCACCTACACTTGAACTTAAGCCGTTGCCTAGTCACTTGAAGTACGTGTTCTTGGGCGAGGATGAGACATTGCCCGTCATCATCTCATCCTCACTCACGGCACAAGAGGAGAACAAATTGGTGCGAGTGCTTAAAGAATACAAAACGGCAATTGGATGGACTTTGGCCGACATAAAGGGAATCAGCCCTACTATGTGCATGCATCGCATACTTCTAGAGGAGAGGTCCAAAACATCTCGAGAGGCTCAACGCCGTCTCAACCCTCCGATGATGGAAGTAGTGAAGAAAGAGGTAATCAAATTACTTGATTGTGGAGTGATTTATCCTATTTCTGATAGCAGGTGGGTTTCGCCCGTGCAATGCGTTCCAAAGAAATCCGGAGTGACCGTGGTTGCAAATGTCAAGAATGAGCTTGTTCCTACGCGCATTCAAACTGGTTGGAGGGTGTGCATCAACTATAGGAAGCTAAATGCCACCACAAGGAAGGACCACTTCCCATTGCCGTTCATTGACCAAATGCTTGAAAGGTTAGCGGGTTATACTTTCTATTGTTTTCTTGATGGTTACTCTGGTTATAATCAAATTGTCATAGCACCCGAGGACCAAGAAAAAACAACTTTCACATGCCCTTTTGGTACATTTGCATATCGTCGCATGCCTTTTGGTTTATGTAATGCACCTGCCACATTTCAAAGATGCATGATGAGTATATTTTCTGATTATGTTGAGAAAATCATTGAAGTTTTTATGGATGATTTCAGCGTCTTTGGTGATTCTTTTGATGGTTGCTTGCATAATCTTAGTTTGATTCTAAAACGTTGTGTTGAAACTAACCTTGTTCTTAATTGGGAAAAGTGTCATTTCATGGTTAAACAAGGTATAGTTTTAGGTCATATCATCTCTGAAAACGGCATTGAAGTTGATAAATCCAAAATAGATCTTGTACGTCACTTACCCTCTCCGACTTCGGTTAGAGAGGTTCGTTCTTTTCTTGGCCATGCAGGATTCTATCGTAGGTTTATCAAAGATTTCTCAAAAGTTGCACAACCTCTTTGCCGTCTCCTACAAAAAGAAGTGGCATTTGAATTCACCAAGGAATGCACGGCTTCATTCAATCAACTCAAGGAGTTGTTGACCACCGCATCAATCATTGTTCCACCTGATTGGAGCCTCCCTTTTAAGTTAATGTGTGACGCATCTGATTATGCTCTAGGGGCTGTTTTAGGGCAAAGGAAAGACAAGAGGCCGCATGTCATCTACTATGCCTCACAGACATTGAATGATGCCCAACTGAATTATTCCACAACCGAAAAAGAACTCTTGGCTGTTGTATTTGCATTAGATAAGTTTAGATCATATCTTCTTGGTACTAAAGTAATTGTTTTCACTGACCATGCAGCCTTGAAGTATCTTCTCACCAAAAAGGAGGCCAAGCCAAGGCTCATTCGTTGGATGCTCCTACTTCAAGAGTTGGATCTTGAAATTCGGGACAAGAAAGGATGTGAAAACGTGGTGGCTGACCACCTCAGCCGAATGGTGGGTAAAGAAGAGTCCATTCCCATCTCAGAAACATTTCCGGATGAGCAACTTCTGTCCATTGAGGTAAGAACCCCTTGGTATGCCGATTTGGTCAATTTCTTGGTGTCTAAGCAAGTTCCTAGTACCCTAAGCAAGTTCCAACGTGATAAACTTGTTCATGATGCACGTTTTTATGTTTGGGATGATCCATATTTGTGGAAATTCTGCCCAGATCAGATTGTGCGTAGATGTGTGCATGAATCTGAGTTTAATTCCATTCTTACATTCTGCCATACTTATGCATGTGGGGGACATTTTGGCACCCAAAGGACAGCCCTAAAGGTGTTACAATCTGGATTTTATTGGCCTAATCTCTTTAAAGATGCTAAAATGTTTTGTTTAACATGTGATAAGTGTCAAATAACAGGTAACATAGGGCCTAAGGACCAAATGCCGCAGCAATCTCTCTCCTTTGTGGAAATTTTTGATGTTTGGGGTATCGATTTCATGGGCCCATTTCCTCCATCTTTTGGTTTCACTTACATCTTGCTAGCTGTCGATTATGTTTCCAAATGGGTGGAAGCCAAAGCCACCCGTACTAACGATTCTAAGGTTGTTGCAGATTTTGTGAAATCTAATATTTTTGCAAGGTTTGGGATGCCACGACTTTTAATCAGTTATGGGGGTTCTCACTTTTGTAACCGCACCATTGAAGCTTTGCTCAAGAAGTACAACGTTACGCATAAGGTTTCAACACCTTATCACCCTCAAACTAATGGGCAAGCTAAGGTTTCAAATAGGGAGATCAAACAAGTCCTCGAGAAAACCGTGGGACCCTCAAGAAGAGATTGGAGTTTGCGCTTGGACGATGCATTGTGGGCCTATCGTACGGCTTACAAAACTCCCCTTGGCATGTCACATTTTCGGCTTATCTATGGTAAGCCATGTCATTTGCCCGTTGAGTTAGAGCACAAGGCACATTGGGTTGTGAAAACCTTCAATATGGACATAGATGCTGCTGGAGTTCATAGGAAGCTCCAGTTAGATGAACTTGAGGAGATTAGGAACGAGGCTTACGAGAATGCTCGCATCTATAAAGACAAGACGAAGGCTTATCATGATAAGATGCTTCGTACCAAAACGTTCTCCAAAGGGCAGAAAGTGTTGCTTTTTGATTCAAGACTTCGGTTATTCCCTGGTAAGTTACGTTCCAAATGGATTGGACCTCTTGTTGTTACTAATGTTTTTCCTCATGGTGCAGTCTAAGTCCAAAGCTTAAAAAGTGGCCACGAGTTCAAGGTAAATGGGCATCGATTGAAGCCTTATTACACTCTGTTTGAGGAGCATGTCATGGAGGAAACACCCCTCCATGCCGTGGCCTCCCCTGAAGCTTGATGGAGGTGTTCGTCCGGCTGCACGACGTTAAAGCAAGCGCTTCTTGGGAGGCAACCCATGCGTTCGACAAAGGAAGAGCTTAAACATCGCTTCACATCCAGATTTGTGTTCCTCAACTCTTCTCTTTGTTATTTATATTCTGTTATTTGTGCTCAGTTTGTTGATTTGTTTGTTTATGTGTTTGCATGTTAGTTTATGCTTGAAACATTGAGGACAATGTTTGATTTAAGTGTGGGGGGGTGAACAATCTGTTTTTGTTTGAAATTCGTGGGAGTTATTCACCTATCACTTATAATGTTGTTTCTTGCTGTTTTAAGTGTTTTTAGAGTGTTTTAGTGTGTTTTATGATGTCTTGAAGTAAAACTCCGAAAATGTGATAAAAATTTGAAAAATTGTTTTGAAAAACCCAAAAAGAGTTGTTTTTGTGTGTTTGTTTGTGTCTTAGGGTACCTTCCAACACAATGATGAGGATTCGGTTTGTAATTACATTGCTGTTAAAGAGAGTTATAAACATGGATGAAAGTTTGATTTACTCTTTGGGTTATGCTTGATTGTGGTTATAATTTATGAATTCACATGCAATCATAAAGGAAGAATCAGTTTTTGTAACATGCTTGAAGGAAGGAACTCATAATAACGCTACATCCCTGTGAGACTCGAGCCATTACCTTCTTTGGAGAGTTATAATATGTGATTCTTTGTTTTCTAAAGTTGTTGCATGATCTCATTATTCCTTGCTTGGTTGCTACATAGAATGCAATTGTATCATGATAGAACTAAATGCTAGAACTTATACCCGTTTCATTCAAAGCATGACATTGAATTGCATAACACATATCAAGATGAAGTTGTGTAGTTGCCACCATAGCCAAATAGCCTTACTTCCCATATTTCGTATATTTTGTAAGTTTTAACCCCGTTGAGCCTTGTTTAGCCTTTATTCTTTGTTAACCCACATTATCCTCACCTAGCCTAGTTTAGGACAGTCCACACCCTTGTTCTTAAAAGAGAGTGAGCATGACTTAAATGAATTCCTTTTGAGTTACATTATGCAAGAAAATGAATGTGGGGGAGGGAATGTTTGTTCTTAAGTTTATATGTATGTTTTGAGATTCAAAAGAAAAGAAGAAGTTGTGAAAAACGTATGAAAAAGAAAAACAGAAAAAGAAAAGAAAGAAAGAAAGGAAAAAGAGCTTGAAAAGATGTAAGAATGA